GTGGGTCAAATATTCACTGAAAATCACGATTCTAGTACAGATTTGGGTTCAGTCCATCTCTGCAACTGTCTTCCATAGCAGCAAGTCTTCAATGTGTGGTAGAATACGGTGACAAGAGTATTAAGATACAATTACTAAAGGTTATCGCACATGTGTGGAACAGTCCAGCCGCTGTTACCCAATATAGTGAGAAGGGAAAGCAGACCGTGCAGAAAACAGTGCAGAGAGGAGCCTTTTGAAATGCAGTAACAAATTTTCCGACTTTATATCGAGACCGATACGGCGGTGGGACCCTCATCTGCATCGACATTTGTGAGGAGCTAAGCGCCTGGCATGAGTGGCCTTCAGAGAATGGCCAAAACGTGATTCTTTAACGCGGCTTGCTCAGTGCCAAATCCTACGCACTCGGTGCATAATTTACTGTGGCATTAGCACATGATGCCATTCTTTCCATCTAGACACCTCAAACATCAGCATTTCAGTGTCAGTGGCAAAATGGAGCATGGAATCAATTTTCCGTGTAGTACGAAAACTATCCTACCTACCTCAGCTAGAGAGCCTAAAAATGCAATAGTCTGAACCGTCTTTCCGAGACCCATCTCATCAGCAAGAATTCCATTTATGCCCTGATCGAAGAGGGTCAGTAACCATGCTAACCCCTTCAATTGATAGGTCTTCAAATCGCCCTTGAAAAGCGCTGGTGGTTTTGAAATGTCCATCTCTGTTTCCATTGGATGTTGACCACTTTGATTGAATTCTGACCTCTAAATGCAGAACATTAATGAATCAAAAACGTTTTTACAGCTTACAGCTTGATTTTCCCTCTCAATCGCTGTCTGAACACGTGACAATGCCTGCGCTTTCAACGCTTCCGCATCTGGAAAAAACAAAAGACATTATCAAGAAATGAAGGAATAGATATGGGAAAATCTCAGTTCCCTACCAAACTCATCGTCCACATTGATACCAAGTCTCCCTGCCGCAGCTTTGGCAGCCTCCGCCAAAGTGGATTCCGCATTACCAGCCTCATCTGAGACTTTCGGCCCCTCCTGAAGCCGTTCAAGTATGGATTCTACTCTACCATCCCCACCAGCAGTTCCACCAGACATGGTTTTGGCCATAAAGTGGGAATAGAGCTCCGTTTGTGTGAGAAGAAAATTAAGTTTACGCTGCTGACGACGAGCCTCAAGCAATTCTAAATCGGCTCTTCGCTGCTCCGCTAGGGCTCGTTCCGCCCGACGTCGTGCAGCTGCCGCCGACTCAATCTCCGCACCGGAAGCTGCACCGCCCGCTGTTTCAGCATCACGTGCGTCCGAGCCACCAGCTAAATGCGAACCTCCAACGCTAGTGCTACCAGCGACTCCGCCGCCGACCCCATTGCCACTACGAACGCACCAATAGGCGGAGATCTCGCGAACCAGTCGTCGTGCACGATCTGATTTAAAATTAATAAATTGATGTAGGCAGATTAGGAATAAGAATCTTGTCTTATTTAAAACCAAACAACCAGTTGCGTGTAAACGCTTTGCATGCCAAGTGTTAGCTGATCAACAGCAGTAATGGGGACGACGATAGGAGGTCGCATAATTGGAAAATTATTTGAATGAGGAGCGTTTTAGACACTGGTATTGTCAAAAACAAAGGAATCAGAGTGAATGGAAAAAGCGAAAACACGAATCACACAAGTCGAAAATTCCCATGAAACTCATGAAGGAGCATCTTCACTTCGAAAGCAGGCCCATAAAGACCACCGAAAAACAAAGGTGGGAGTCTCATGTCAACGCCTCTGATGATAACAGCATCATTCTTGATTGACTCGCCGTAATAGCTGTTTACTGGTTTCATATTTTTTGCATAAACGTATATGGCGACTGGTGAGTCGTAAAGGAAAGTAGAGATACCGTACAATGGGTTGCCAGCATATTTTGATCAGTGTAGTCGTAAAACCTCATCGATTAACAGATAAACCTTCAATTTGCAACATCTTACGTTTGGAACAACTGGAACTCCAAATTTATCTCACTGTTTTGGAAAATAAAACATCATCATGATGCTAGAGTCGGCCAATAATGAGCTAATATTATACATGTAGAAAGCCGCATAAAACACGGTGTTAAATACTTCACAACGTTCCCCCCCCCCTCCCCCATGAACTGTACGATACATGGTCAGGATAACCGACAGCACCAGGTCACGTTACAAACATTAGTCCTGTTTGGAACAAAAACCACTTTTTTTGGGTCTCCTTGTTTCGCAGCATATGGCGTCTGATATCCCTACAAAATGCTGGCATTGAACGTATCTACAACGTTACAAA